TCAAAGATCTTGGCACACTCAAATATTTTTTTGGCTTTGAAATTGCTCATTCTCATTCTGGAATTTACATTTGCCAACGTAAATATGTCCTTGAAATCCTCGCGGAAGCTGATTTTCTGGGTTGCAAACTAGTTTCTACTCCAGTTGTTACTGGTTCTCCAACTTCCACTGAATATACTTCCTTAATTGATGCTATTGCTTATCGCCAATTAGTTAACAAACTGTTATACTTAACCAATATTAGGCCAGAGTTATCTTTTGCTGTACAACAAGTTTCTCAACACATGGATACTCCCACCACAGCAGACTTAACTGCTGTCCACAGGATTCTGCGATACCTCAAACTAGCTCCTGGTCAAGGTTTATTATTTTCTTCTTCATCTACCTGCCAGCTGCAAACATTTTCTGTCTCTGATTGGCTTCAATGTCCTCTCACTAGCTCCTGGTCAAGGTTTATTATTTTCTTCTTCATCTACCTGCCAGCTGCAAACATTTTCTGTCTCTGATTGGCTTCAATGTCCTCTCACTCACAAATCCATCAATAATTTCTGCATTTTCTTTGGTGATGCTCTTATTTTCTGCAAGTGTAAAAAGTAAGCTACCATTACTAAGTCTTCTACTGAAGCTGAGTATCGCGTTATGGCTGCCACAGCTTGTGAAATTCAATAGTTATATTTTCTTCTTCATGACTTGCATATTGTTCCACCAGCTGTTGTATTGTTATTCTGTGATAATCAATCTTCCATGAAGATTGCCCACAATCCTGTTTTTCATGAAAGAACCAAATATATTAAAATTGATTGTCATCTCATTCGTGAAAAAGTTCAGCAAAGTCTTATACGGTTAATGCTTGTTTCTTCATCTCAACAGCTTGCAGATTTCTTCACCAAAACCTTGCGTATTCCTCAATTTCATCTGCTGTTATCTAAGTTAGGAATTTTTAATATTTACTCTTCCTAGCTTGTCTGGGGCTAATACAATACATTAAGTTTTTAATGGTGATTAGTTGATATTGTTAGTTCTGTTAATTTGTTTTGCCACGTGGGATTGTTATTTTGTTTAGCACGCAGGCCTCATGTTAGCGCTAATTTTCTGTTACATTTTACGCACTTCTTCCTTTCCTTCATGTATATAAATGAACAACAGCTTCTGCTTCAATCATAAAAAAAGTGCATTACTACAATTTCAAAATTTAAATTCTCCTTTGTATTCTTTAGTTTCAATAGGTTTTCTCTGTGTTATACAATTTACCAATATTTTTACTCACCAGACCTTGTTCACGTTCTTGTAATATGTTTAACTGATCTTATTGTGTTTGCTATGATGAAATTATGCACCAGTTGTTCTAATGGAATCAGTTTTCTTAAACATTCTACGGTTATTCTAATTTAATTTTCTCATTTTTTGTTTCTTGGAGTAAATTAGTTGATAATGTTATACCAGGGAGTTCTTTAAATTTCAAAGTTTGGTTTGAATCCAGCTCATAAGTTGAAACATTTTTCTTCTTGTCTTAATTTTTCTTCACTTATGTGGGTTACTGTGTTCTTTGATGTATTTTCGGTTCTATTTCGTACCCCTGAATGGAAGAGATTGGAGGGTAATCATCGAGAAAATTGAAGCTTTAGAAACAAAATGGTTAAGGCCTACACAATCAGATTCCTTATACAAATCTGTTTGTGTTTGGGAACTTACATGGGATTGTGGGTTTCAGATGAACTCCGTACTGTGGAGTTTTTTCAAACTTAAGATTTGAATGAACTTGTTATGTTCTCGTGATGAGGTTTTTACTTCCGAACACTCTTGAGATCGGTAAACACTGGAGTAACTTAGTTTCTAGTTTCCTGTTATTTTCCATCTTTAGACTTCGATTTGAACAAATGAACAATCAGATTTCATTTCATTTATAAACTAATTGAACAAGGACAGAGGGATTCATTTGCCAAATCAATTTGTGCTTGGAATAAATCATGATATTTTTACATTTTGGAGAAATTTAGCTTTTTTTTTTTTTTTTGGATTACAGTTTAGTTATTTATCTTACTATAAATTGTTTCTCCATGTGATTTTTTAAACATATTTTTTTAATTAGAGATAATAGAAGTTCTTTTTGTCTTACTTGATTGACATAAAAATGACTCTCACCTTATTTAGGTATAGAAATTGAAAAGAAATTCCAAAAATGGTGATTGTAGGTATCTTTATTTTCTCTTATATCTGTTATTATCATCTGCATAACTTGAATAAAAAAAAAAAGAATTATAGTTGTTAAGTTTATTAAAAGAGAGGGCTGAATAATTTATCCTCAACTATTTTGTGCAATTAAATTGAATCATTACATTTTGAAGGATACAACTGATAATGTAAGCATATAGTTTTCTCAGCAAGTGCTGAATACAAATGTTCCTCCTGGTTTTTCTGTTGTTCCAGGTTGATTCTGCACGGAGAAGCTTTTTCGGTGTAGAAGATTTCCTTGACGATGACAACAGCCGACCATACACTTTCGAGAAGGGAAAAAAGTCGAAGAATCCGAACAAACATGTATCTTTTAAACAGAGAACAGTAGCCTATATGGAGCCATTTACACTCGATGTTTTCATCTCAAAGCGCTTTGTTTCAGCCTCAATCACCCATAGGGTAACATGCAAGCAGGTTGCTGTGGCCGGTACAAACTCAAAAGACATCAAAGCTGTGCTAAGGTCCCGATCCGATATCCCTGCGTGCTTAGCCGTTGGTCGAATTTTATCCGATCGGGCAAGAGAAGCCGATGTTTACACTGCCTCTTATACTCCCAGGGAGAGGGACAAGTTTGAAGGAAAGATCAGAGCAGTTGTTCAATCCCTCATTGATAGTGGGATTGATGTAAAAGTTTATCTTGACTGAAAATGCTGCATTTGGTCTTGAATGAAACTTGCAAAATAGTGTTTTTTCTAAGAAGTTTAGTAGATTATGTAAATTTTGCTATTCGAACACCCATTATAATCTTTTACGACCACGGATAATAATATCTATTTATTCTTCTATATTACATATATATATATATTTACTCGTAAAGGTAATGCATTCTAAAAGGTTTCAAGCTCGTTAGCTGAAAAAGCATTAAGAAGTTAGAAATAAAGGTAGTTTTTAATTAAAACATTTAGATTTCGCATAAATATATATATATAATTTTTATATTAATTTTTTAATTTATAGTACTCGTTTGTTTTAGCTGAACTATTTAGATTTTACATATATATAAATAATTTTTATGTTGATTTCTATATTTATTAAGTTCGTAATATTTTTTTTAATTATCATGGAGTAATCTCGAGTTTTAAAGAATTTTTATAATTATTTTTATTTTAATTATTATAATACTGTCTGAGTTCGTTTTTTTTTAACTGTAATTTTTTTTAAAATTATTTATAAAAATATATAACACGAACACAAAAAAAAAATTTATTCTGAAAATATAAATAGAATTAAATAAATTAAGAGAATTTTATTTTATTTTATTTTTTTTATAAATAAATTCTTAAAATTTTATACTTTGGTTTTTTTCATTGTTTGGAAAAAAAGAACTTGGAAGAAGGATATTTAATAAAAAATTTCCAAAACAAACTGTTCAAAACGACATGCGTTTTAAGGGACGCAGAGGAAAGGGAATTTTGGTAAAATTTGATCCTTCAATGGAAGGCCATTATCGTCAAATAAATTAGTCAGCAGACAAATGCCCTTCCATCTCATTTTGAACAAAGCTCTGATACATAACCTAAACCTGTAGATTCTTGCAGCGGAGAGGAACGGAAGCTACGAGTCTCATCGTGACTCTTGTTTGTGGGGAATTTCTTTTCTCTCATTTTACCAAATTATCTTCGTCACTGACAGGTACTCTATTTTGTTTCGGATCTCTCTCGCCCGATGCTTCACGTTCTTTCTTCAATTTACTCGTTTTCGTTATCGATGATGTTTTTCTGCTCTCATCTTAGGTCTCCTGTTTTAGGTATTGGAATGAGTCTTGTCGGATTTGTTTGGTTGCCGGTGGAAAATAACTTAGGAGATGTCTTTTAGATGGTGCAAGCAGTTTTTAATAAACACGCGATTATTTATATGTTTTTGTTTTCTATTTTTTTTTTTTCGATTTTGGTTTGGTTTAATCTGGTTGAGCTCGAGTTGGTGAAAAAGGAGAAGGGAACTTTCTAGGGTTGGATAATTTCTGTGCTTCTAGTTTTCTTTCTTCTTAGTTCAGTGCGTTTAATATGCTTTCATTTCTTAAAATTAGTTGATTATCCCTGCTTGGAAATGAAGTATGAGTGGAGCTTTTGTTACATTTACACATTTTGGATTTTCTGAATTGCTTCACACGGGCTGTAGTTTATGTTCTGTGAGTCTTATTCGTCTACGGGTTTGCTGTGGGTTCTCTTCTTGTAGTTTGGTTAGGTTAGCATTTTTGTTACTAGTTTAAGTTTAGAAGTTCTCTGCCTTCTGTATTGCTGAAGGACTAGTCTTCTGTGCATTGTTAAATTTCTAACCGCCTATTTAACACATGATATTGAATCTTCTAATTTTAATAGCATAATGAAATTGTAGCAATTTTCAGTTTGCTTTGGTGAGTACTGGTGCACAGGAAACGTGAGGTGTAATTGCTTGTATTTGTTACCTATCTCTTTGCCTCAGTTTTTTTTTTTCCTTGTCCCCAATTTACTTGAATGGTTCTAGTGCAAATTTGAGATCCTTAGGAAATGAGAGTATGCCATGCAGCACAGTGAAGTGATTTAAACAGCTCATTCTTGTGAAATGGTGACGGCTGATAGCAGAGGTGTTCCGGAGAGTGGTGGATCTGGGTGTTGAAGTTGTAGTTTTAGTTAGATGATGATTGATATGCCATCTTTCTGTCACAGTTATGCGCATTTAATATATGCCTGCGAAATTTGACTAGCGGTTGGGCAATTTTTCTTTAGATCTGAAGTTTAGCAGATATTGTCAGAAAAACTGATGTTGAGTGTAAAGCTAATTTAGTATGCATCTTTTTGGTTCATAATGTACCTCCAGATTGATAATCTGTGGGACCTTTTGGGGATATAGGCTAGCAGTTGATATCTTTGTCATCGTAGTGATGCTTTTTTGAATTTACCTCTATATCAATAGTATTGGTTTGGACCCAAAGTGGGATTTCTACTCTTTAATTTCCTTTTAATATCTATCTGATGATCGATGAACAGAAGAGAGATGAAAAATCATTTCATAGTTATTTTGGTTATTGTTTGCAGGGATTGTGGCTTGGACTTTCAGTGGTTGAGCAGAATATGGAAGAAGAAAAGAAGCAGGGAGATGAAAATGTTGCAGAACCCTTAACAAAGTCAGAATCATCTGGAAAACAAACATCAAAGTCCCTGAAGGCCAAATCTAAAATTGCAAAGTCTGCTACAAAAAAGGTAGTGAAAAAGGTAGTAAAAGCTAAGAATGATGAAGATGCCTCTAAGGATCCAGAGAATGTCAAAAAGGATAGTGAGAGTGTATTAGAGGAAAAGAAAGAAGGTGGAAGCATTGAAGAAAAGACTGATAAGGAATTAAATCTGGGAGAAGAAAACCAACAGAAGGATGAGAATGAAGCTGCACTTATTGAGAAGAGCAAGCAGTTGGAAGCAAACCAAGAAAAGATTGGGACATCCAGTAATAGAAGACTCAGGAAGAGGAACAGAGGAAAGAATGGTGCATCAAAGAGTAAAAACAGTTTACCTCAAAGTGATGAAAAGGGAAAAGAAGCCAAGGATGATGCTAGGTCTGAGAGGGACAAAAAGAATGAAGAAAAACATGTTGACAAAGAAAAGAAATCACAGAATGAGAAAACGGAAGAGAGGCTTGGTGGATTGATCTTCATGTGCAATGCAAAAACCAAGCCCGATTGTTTTCATTATCGCGTTATGGGCGTACCAGTGAACAAAAAAGATATTGTTATGGCTGTCAAACCTGGTGTTAAGCTGTTTCTCTATGATTATGATCTCAAGCTTATGTATGGAATATACAAGGCATCATCTTCGGGTGGCATGAAACTTGAGCCAAAAGCTTTTGGTGGATCTTTTCCTGCCCAGGTGGCTGTTTATTGCCATTCACTTGTCTTGATGATCATTTGTTTTTTCTTTTCTACTAGAGCCATATGCTGATGGTGTCTTTTTCCGTCCCCAGGTGAGGTTCACTGTACACACAGATTGTTATCCGCTGCCTGAGAACGTATTCAAAAAAGCAATGAAGGAAAATTACACC